ATTAGGTTCATCCAAAAAGAGAGTGTTTCATAATGTTTCCCCCCCCCCTTTTTTTCAAACTTCAGTTTAGTTTCTATATTTTCTACTTTTTAATAGTTCAAAATGATGAATTTACAAACCTTCAGTAAAGCACATAAATTTTACAAAAATTAAGGCATGTAATCTTTGTTTAGCAAGTTACAAATATTTCATATCTATTTCATATCATATATTTCAATATGTCATTTCTTTTTGATCCACTTAAACTATGTAAATCCTGTTTAAATTCTTTGCTCAGGTTACTTTTTGTACAATTTAGGGCCTCAGATCTAGTAGGTCCTAGTAGGTTAGTGTAATCCTAAGTTTTTTTTTCAGAATTTTTTTAGAATTTCTTCCAGATTTTTTTGTTGCACACATTACTTAGCTTGGCAGGTGGGGGTTAATCAAAGAAGGCCATAACATTTCATAATTTGTGTAGCATGCTCCACACTTCAAAACAGACTTCCAAAATTTATTTCACACTCTTTAAACTCTACAGTAATTTCTAGATTTTATCCTGTTCTCAAAATTATCATTTTCAAATGTACAAATGTTTACAGTCCAAGCTGTTTACACATCTGTATACCCTATTATTAATCTGTCATATAAACCTGAATATCAAGTACTTCTTTTTCACTCAAGCACCAAAATACCCTATTGTAAAGAAACTGAATATCAGGCCTGTAACCGGCAATATCAAAGGGTAGAGAAAGGACGGGGCTCTTTTTCTGAAAAAGTAGACCTTTTCACTTTTTTACCTTGGAACTTAGATCAAGTTTTGATTTATAGAGGACCTTTTACAAGACAAAAAGCAATCAGTTCCCCCCTCCCCCGACCACCTCCACTTTCAGCTACAAGTCTGAAATAATTGGTCTGTCTGTGCACCAAACAGACTGAAAGATATTGTAATACATATTCCCCCAAGGCTTTGTCCCAGACAGATCATGAAGTGTTGAATTATCAAGTGCTGAAAAGGAAAAGAGAAGATATGAATAAGTTATAGGTTTGGGTCGATGAAAGGTGAAACACAGCACTAATCTACCAGTCAGTAACCAAAGTATGGGTTTGATAGCTACCCAGGTAGTATGACATTGAGGGATGATGGCCATTAATACACACACTCTCTCTCTCTCTCTCACACACACACACACACACACACACACACACACACACACACACACACACACACACAGACAGTGAGAGAAAGCTAGGACCCAAAACAATTTATCTTCTATCCTAGGAGAAAGAGAGAGAAAGAAAGAAAATGATGTAGGTATTATATAAGTCTATGGGGCAAAGGCAGGCCCCAACAAATTAATCATCATTGTCATCCTCAAAGTCGTTATGTGGATGCATCTGAGAAAGTTATAAATGAGTCACTGTCTGCCGATAGATTGAAAAGTTTTGCGGCAGCTGTGTAATTTATGTCACTGGGTCCCTACAAACAACAATAATGTTACGTTGTTGAATTAAGTTCAGCAATTTTCAACAGTGAATTTATCAATGACGTTTGTCAACCAGGATAGAAATTTTTGCCATCTCTGCATGATTTTTTTTCATCTTTTTGCATTTTAAAGATAAAAAAATGCTGCAAATTAGGCAAGCAATGCAACTTTCATTTTGGAAAAAAGTCTCTATATGTTCTTACTGAATTCTAGAGATATCTGCATTTTCTTTGTTTTTTTCCCCTTTGTTTGTATCTAGCTATCAAAGACTCTTATATTCTAGTATACATATATCACCACGTGACGGTTCAAACAGAAATGTCCTTCAAACACATCAATTGTCAGAGATAATGGAAAGAGATAGCGAAATTTGTTTTAGGCTATAATTGTAGAACAAAGGAAATCTGTGCCAGTTTAAGAACACTAAAAAAAGATGATGTTACAGATGGAACAGTTTATATTTTTTCTCTCAGGGGTATATGGCACTGTCATCTACATTCCTCATATATAATATAATATATCACTTTTAAAATTGAGCAATGAATGATATAGGATGCTTTTGGGGTTGCAAAGTATCAGGATGTCACAGAAAATCCAGCTTTTGAAAGATGAAAATAACAACAATTTTCTATGAATAAAACCAACCAACTGTGATTACCTTTAAGTACGCAATAAGAAAGAGTTTAACACCGATTCACATTTCAAAACCTGTCATACACCCCCTCTGGATCATCCCATTTGAGAATAACACCACCTGAACCTCCTTGGCTTTGTAATGGGCATGTCCCAATTATTTCAGTGCCGTGTACTTGTTTCTGAGGTTACGTGACTATGGAGAACACTTTAAAACAAACTGCACTTGATGACCCCTTCAGGGGAATCATCAAGTGCATCCTGACGTTCAGGCACTGAAATTGCACTGGGTTTCGTACCTAAATATTGGCAACAGGACAGAAATAAAGGGAAATCCCTCTGCTATGGGTTCGATAATGCAACAGGGAAGATATCCATCATTTATTTCTACATGAGGTATGTCTGTGGTTCAACACAACTAATTTTTAGGGATCCAAACTGTCAAATTTGTGAAGGACAGCATTAATAATAAAAGAGTCCTCAAATAATTATAATATATTTTTTATTTCCATTGAAAGGAGTATGTGACAGATGGGGGAGGGGGAGGTTACTCGACAATAGCTGAATTTGCTTTTTTTAATATAAAACATTGTGGGGTGGTGGGGGAGGAGGGTTCAATTTCGATATTAGGTTTCAAAATGAAATCATTTTCAAATACTGAAAATGGACTACAATGGGTAGACATATCAGAAAAAATGTCTACCAGTCATGAGGTGTGAGTCACTCTACTGCCATACATACAACACACCTCCACCCTGAGTCTCAAAGTACTCTGGAGACTCACCTCTCTACTATCCCCATAGCTCTGTCAGTTAGTTCCCAATGTCCTCTGTAACCTGGGGTAACTATGTCCCTCTGCTATGTGGAACAGTCTTACAGACCTAGGCAGTGCTCAGCAACATTTTAACCAAAACCATCCATAGACTAATGAGAAGTTAGAGAGTAGCTGATTTGTAATAACATATCCATATTGTTTTGAAAATCATGAAGGTGTATCACTCCTTGATAACCCCCATCCACACACACACACACACACACACACACACACACACACACAACACACACACACACACACACACACACACACACACACACACACACACACACACACACACACACACACATAGAGTTCTTCATGCAGTGCTTATAGCTTAACTTCGGCCTACAAGCAAACTGAATGCAATCACACCAAGTAGTCCTGAACTTATTTTGTTAAAACAGTATTGATGACAGCCCAATGTGTGAAATGCATATCCTGGTTTCATTGTACTTACCAGCAGAAACTGTCAGTGAGATCATAAAATGAGCAGTTGAAAAGACGTGGCATGAGTGAAAATAAACATGGAAATCCCTTTAGAGAATCAAAGGACAAAAACTTATTTGAATTATTATGTCTTTTTAACAGGTAATGTTTTTTTTTTTAGCAGGAGTTTTTGCAGGCCAAAAGATATTGCTCCAGAGGTTTGAAAATAATAAACTCTTCCATTTGCTGTATTAATGCTGACAGAAAGTTCATTACACAACCAGCGAAAAGGGGTGTTGAAGGTAGCAGGCCAAGAAGACACCAGAGTTTTGAACTCAATTCCCAATGTTTCAGTGAGCACTGTTGATTGTTTAATGCAATCAAATGTCATTATGTCATACAATTGTTAGGTAATGACCTTTTGTAAACAATGTGCTAAATCCAATAAAGGTTATTATTATTAATTATTATTATTATTATTACTAAATGTTGGTTATAACTTCTATTTGAATTTTTGCACTAAATTTACAGCTGACAAGTTTATTCTGATCTGGGAATATAGTATTCACAATATATGATGGCACATAATAATGTATTACTAAGTACCCTCAGATGAGACTTGACTATGACAGGCACATAATGAACATTAAACTTTTATATAGCAATGTTTCACCTGGACACTCTCCCCTTAATAAGCAAGGTATTTCTTATCCAAAACTATTCAAAAATTTTTGATCCATTAACCTGTTTTTGGAGTTTTAACTTTCTAGTCTTCATGTGACTCTCATAATAGAAACTGAGACTAAGGTTTGTGACTTACATTCATTGTAGGAAACATTTTTAAATTTAGAAACTTAACATGGGTTTATACATTTTTTTCAACAGATTTGGACAGTGCAGTGCTTGGGGATAAGTAGAAAATTAGTGGAATTTTGCAGAAAATGTTTTGCCATAAATTGCTGTCTAGCATGCCTTGTGTACCTTTAAGCACCAGCACTGAAACACCTGTTTCCACCTGATGATTTTATTACCGAATAAATGTTACAGGGCCTATATTAATAATTGCTACAATATGATATATAAACACAGTTATATTCATTTCTAGTATGAAATTCCCAACAGGCATTTTAAAATCTGCCACACTTGAAGTGCCCCATTTGGCATATATAACTTACACCTGACACCTTAGCACTTGAAGCTAAGTATTCATAAAGTACATTGTAATATATGTGTACTCATAAAGTACATTTACAGTGGCAATAACAAAACAGGCTCCAGAGCATTCTTTGTGACATCACTGGAAGATAGCAACCACCAGAATGGTCAGTTCAGAAGAAGTTGATATCAATTATAAAGAAAGTCACCAGCCCAACAGAAGATAATTTCAATCATATGGATATAGTTACCAGCCCAGCCAAAAATTACTGGAATCATAGAAAGCCACCAGCTCCACGCGTGTTTGCAATCACCTCTATTAGAACCTCTATTATTTTTGCTTTAGGGCAAAATCCTATGTATCTAAAAATCCTGCCTTATATACTTTGTATTCATGTCAAGTTAATTTTTTTTTCCATTTCCAACAGCACAGTTAGAAGTAAATCATACATGACACTTAAACTGTAAATTGTCCCCCTCACAGAAGGGTTTGGGTCATCACCTACCCTTTTGAGATCCTCAGCATACAACATAGGTCTCCCTTCCTCCTCCTCCTCCTCAGATTCCTCATCCTCCTTCATGGTGCCTGACACAGTGGTTTCCACGGTAACAGGTCGCAGGTCAGGCTTGAATTCATCTGATGTCGCCTGTCCTTCCTGGAAGATGATATGTACGTCTGAAGCTTGAGTAGTTTCATGTGAATAGCCTCCAACAGTGCATGTCAAGGCTATGGTATTACATGATGTTTTAGGTCCTTTTAGATTTTACACCACAGTAGTGCTCTATAAGACAGATTTACTGCTCTCGGGGTGGGTGGGTGGGTGGGGGGGGGGTGAGAGCATGTATGTGCATGCACCGTGTATGTACATAGGTGGGTGCGTGCAAGTATGGAAACTAGTTTATTATAGGGAGATAATAATAAAACAGAAAATTTTACAGTTTAATTTCTCAAAAACATTCCTTCAAATACAACAAAATTTCACCAAACAACAACATGGTATTGTCTCCAGTACATAACTTTTACTCAGTAACATTCATAACAACCATATGGCATGCAAATATACAATACTGAAGTTAGGCATTTCCAACCCAGTGAATAATAGCATGGGGGTACCTCTGGGATTTTCTCCATGGTTCTCCCTGCTGTGGCTGGGTCTGTCCCAGACTCTCCTGCTGCATCAGAGCTGTCTGTGGGTGCAGTGACATGAACTGCTGGGGGTGGCAGGCCTGTGACAACAGAAAAATTGTTATGTTAATATTTTGTTATCGTGTTATTATTGTGTATTTGGAGAAAAGTTTTCACCATCTCTGTAGTCATGTGATCAAAGGTTCTTTGATGAAGGGTTGTGATGTCGCCTCATTAGTAAAAATATCTTTAGTACCTTTAAAAAATACTTTTTTTTTCATTTTTTGATAACAAAAAAGATAGAAAAGAGATCATTGCAAATAGTACACATATACATATGCTGTTTAGTTTGTTTACCTATGTTCAAAGATTTAAGTTTATGACAGTTCAATCTATTAAACCAAATATCAAATAGAAAAATGAGAGGTACTCTTTTGTACCAGTAATTTATCAAGAGGTGTACAAATATGCCATTATTATTAACAGTAGCAATGCATGAACTTAAAACTTATTAAACTACACAAATCATAAGAAACCAGTAATTTTTTTCTGAATGAAATTCTCAAATAAATTGTTTTTTAACAGATTTTCTGCCACCTTTCATAAATTCTGGCATTGGTGAGGAGATTTCTTCATCTGAATCCTCTGCCTTTTCCCCATTCTTTGCTGAAATATCTGTAAGAAATATTTAAGATAAAGCATTATCATTTAATCATTAATTAATCTACTTATTTGTTTATCTACTTAGTTATTTATTATGTAGTAATCATGTCACTCTATAATTGAATGTAGGATAATCACATTTTTAACAAAACTGATTTTAGTGTAATATTATAGCATATACAAAGGAGCTGCCAAAATATCAAACATTAAAGATAAATTCTAAATAGATAAACTAGACACATAAATCTGTCTATAATAAACTGCTGATTTAATATAATATATATTTTTCATTAGAAAAAGGATGTGCAAAGGTAAGCTTAAAAATCATTGTTAATAAAAACATGTTACACTACAAATTAAAACCATGCTATACTAAGAATTACTGTCTTAAATTACAAAATTCTTTGTATCTTTTTATCTCTCCCCAGTTTCACCCCTTAATAAAAGTAACAATATGCATGCTACTAGAAAGGTGCTGGGATTATATACTATTGTGCACAGGGAATCTAATAAGTGCAAAGTGGGGAATCAATGATACACAACATAAATTGCCAGATGCTACTTTTGCCCATTTTACTGTAAAAATTTAAGTATCTACTGTCTTCAATAAATTAAATTATTTAATAAAATTAGTCATACAATGATAAAGTTAAGGAATAATTGACATTCAAGGATTATCGATATAATTTGTTCCATTATGCAATAAAATTAGACATGATGTTGGCTCGAGTTATAAACAGATTTTGAAGTAAAAACAGTGCCGCACATTGGAGTTAAATTTTACTACATATACTTATCATTTGCTTATGATATTCATGTATGATATTTATATCAAGCAGGGTGGGAAAGAGACAGAAATTTATGAAAAGCTTGAAAATATCAAGTTACCAACACAAAAAATGTCAGGTGAAGAGGGCAGGTGTCACAAAATATCATTATATACAAATGTTCTACATATAGGACATTAGGATAGCAGGCAATAAAAATCACTTCCATATGGTGAACACCACACACTACAAAACAAAGGGACACCATATTTAATTATACCAGTTTTGGCTCTCTGGGCCTTTCTTGGGGCCTTCTGAGCCTCAGCACCATCTAGGACACTTTGCACTATTAAGTCATATGTGTCTACATGTTGTGAGGACTTGCTGCTGCGACCACCAGGTGTCTCTTCTCTCTCCGCTCTCTCCCTAAAGCCTACAAATCAAGTTGGTGACCAAGAGGAGCTTACTATACTAAGAAGCATAACATAGGTATAACAAATTCAGAGGAAACTCGGACAGTAGTGCAACTTAACAAATGAAAACATGCAAAAAAATTGTGGCTATATACTTAGCAACAAAATAATAAAGTGGCTTGAAAAGCTCCGCAGCTGTTTAAGATATAAAGTGATAAATAATCAAAATAAATGAGATAACAGTACAAGCATGCTCCCTTTGACTAAACTGATCAGATCTAAGAGTGAATTTGGTATGCATATGAAATAAATTGCAAATAAAATGTATAATTGTGCAACAAAGAAAATCTATATAAACTTAAACAATAGAACTTAATATAATTCCTACTGGCTTCAAAAATGAGAGATCTGTGTAAATAAAACTATAAAAGCCTTCAGACATATGCAGCTCTCTCTGACTGGCACTACAGAGGAGTATATTCTGTGATAAAACCTCTTTTCATACCATTCTCGTCCTCTTCTTCCTCCTTGATTGCCTCCTGGGTGGTCAGGTTTGTTGTGGCACCTAAGAGGATGAAAAATGGGAATTCTTTTCAAAAAGTAATACCAAACTAGAGGATCAGAGAGNGCGGAGCCGGCGGAGCTTACGGAGCCGGCGGAGCCAACGGAGCCGGCGGAGCCGGACGAGACGGGTCGGGACTAAAACCATGAGTACCGCCAGCGTACACGCTGGTGGTACTAATAAAGCAATGCTGAGTATAGAGATAGATAACATTGAGAAAGGAAAAGTAATTTTTAGGAGTATACAGCATCCTATGTCTAAATCATTAATAAAAAAAATTACATACTTCTTTTGAAGAAAAAAAAATTACCTTGTTCTCATTTTACTTAAAATAATATCTATTTTTGGCTGTTGTTATAATATCATAATTGATAAGGATATATCTACAACATCGCATTTAGACAATCTTACCAATTTCACTGAGTACAGCACTGGCCCTTGACATTACCCTGTTCATGATATCTTTGATCTTTTTGTCTGCTTCACTCTCACTAATAAAACAAAAACAATATGTTTAAAACAAAATAAATAAATAAATAGGCATAGCTTGGCAAATTTCAATTCATCCAGTCATTTGCGTTTCATTTCACTAACTCTAATTTGGAAGTTAGAGGTGCTACTTACATGTAACCAGTCGTACTGATAAATGAATAAAAGTTCAGAATCAAAAACAAGTTATTTTACATAATAGTAAAAAATCATGCCTGTAACTGTTCAGATGTCAGTTTTTGGGGGGAACTTGCATTGTAAGAGGGAACTGCAAGTGAATATCCCCCCCCCTCATTAAAAAAAAAAGAAAAAAAAACACTAGAATACCATACTTACGCCCCAGACGTCTGTTTTCTCAGTTCATTAATGATCTCATCCACTGATCTGTCTTCTTTAGGCTTGTCCTCTTTCACAGGTTTAGGCTCCTGTTTCTGGGCAGCAGCAGCAGCAGCTCTAGCTTTCTCTGAATACAGAAAATACTGGCATACGAAATATTCCAAGTTTTTAAGGTTCTTGGTTAATTGCAACTTTGCAAATTGAAAAGTCTACAGAACATTTAAAACAGATTTTAGACTTATTTATAAATATATATCATCATATTCATTATATAATACACTTACATTTAAGCACACAAAAAATTTTAAAATCATAATGTCTCTCTACAAATATAAACACTGACATGAGAGAAGCCATCTTTACGTTAAACAGTCATATTTAGGCTGCATTCCCCACCTTTGCCTACTGGCTGTTTCCTCTGTGGTGCCCCTCTCTTCCCATCAGACCTGGATGACGTGGACTTCTTACTGCTGTCTGACCTCTTGCTGTCCTTGTCTGTCTCCCGCGCCATGTGTCTCCTGTAGATGGCTTCCCCACCTGCAATCTCACGTGCCTCATCCAAAAGTTCCTTGGTGGACTTCACCTAAAATCAAATAAAGGTGTTAATCAAGTAAAAAGAGATTCAGTTCAAAACATACATACATACATTACCCCTTTTTTTAAAAGATACTTAAAGTGAATATCTACTCTAAAACATTGAACAAAATAAAGAATGTGATTACTACGATTAATAAGTGTGGACTTTTAAATATGACTAGGGATTTGAGGCTGTTCTTGTCTGGTCACAGCTTAGAGAACTGACCGAGCTGGTACTGGACACACTCCTCTGGTCATCAGCTCCCGCTGAGGTGGCTCTGCTCTTGGTGGGACCCGAAGAGGCGTCAGCATCAATGTTAGCTATCACGTCATCATACTGACTGAACACCGCCTCATCTGGAAGGATGATCTCTGTGCTGCGCAGAGAGGAGGCAATGCTTTTACCGCTTCTGGTCCTGGTTCTCCAGCCAGCTGATATGTGAAAAATTTCAATTTCAAATAATTGAAGGAAAAATACTAATACACACAGAGAGAAAAGGCAATGCTTTTACCATAATATAATATAATATCATCATCATACATGGCAGATTTTAAATAAGCTAAACTCATTTCACAATAGTTTATTACTCTCCTCACCTGAAATTTTCCTTTGTTTTTTTACAAGTTCACTGAGCTGTGACATGGGTCTTGGAGTGGGTCTCATTCTCTCTGTAAAGGTCACTTTCTGTGTTGTACCCAGTAGTCCTAGGATAGCTGGTTTCTTCTCTGTCATGGGGTCACTGGGGCCAGTGAGTGGACTGACTGGACGTCCTTCCTCAGTCTCTGTAGGCATGGGGGTGGTGTTAGCCTGCAGAATCAAAAGAAAATATACAGAGTACAAGATTGAGTTTAAATGGAGCATATTTGTACTAAAATGTACCAAAGATAATAAATAAATAAATAAATAAATAAATAAATAAATAAATAAATAAATAAATAAATAAATAAATAAATAAATAAAAGAGATGTATAATCCATGTTCTATTGACATTTTCATGAATTTCTAATAAAAAATCAAATATTCACGGGCTACAATTAAGTAAAAACTTGGTTGAGACTGACTTTTTAAACAGTATAAAATTGGTATAAAATTTTACTTTCTTTTCAAATAGGCAAACGATCAAGTGAAAATCTTCTAAAACACAAGAAAGAATACAAAAGAAAGAATGACACAGACTATTTCAATAGCTCCAATAGACTGATCATCATCAGTGATGGTAATAACTGGCTGTCCTTCTAGCATCACTTTCAGGTTCTTGATTTCAGCACTGAAATTAGACCAAAAAGAATCTTTTCATTTATAACAAATGTTGCCATTAAAAAAAAATATATATATATCAATTATTAAAGCCTTTTCAAGTAAATATACTTGAGCTCACAAACCACTACAGTCCTCACTTCAGTACATGAATTAAAAAAGAATCTGTAATTTTTAAGATAGCAGTTAAGCCAATTCAGTGTTGAAGTTTTTAGTTATTCAGTTATTATATCAAAATAAAATGAAGTTATCAGAATAAATACCTGTCTCTCACTCTTGGCACAACACCCACTGATGAAATGTGGGGTTTCTTCATTTCTGAAACAAATGTAAAACTGCTGTTAATCCAACAGACAAGAATGTGAATATTAACAATTTGAAGGATCCACTCAAAAGTGTAAAAAACACTTTCATATCGTCACTTAGTTTTTTTGTGAAAATGCAAGTTAAGGAAGTTAAGTGAGTATATAACATTGTATATAAGGCAGGTAACTGCACCCTGGCCACAAATATCTGAGCACAGTTACACATGATTCCTTCCAATGACCTAGATTTTTCTGTTTGGCAAGAAAAAAACGACCAGACATAAAAAAACCTGTGGCAGGATGTATTGGCCTTGGTTTTTAAAATGTTACAAGATCAGGATCAAGAAAAAAAATAAATTCTACAGTCTGTAGACCTGCTTGGCTACACCACAGGTAAAAACTTTGTCTTCCTTTAAACTGAGTCCTTCTATAAATTCCTAGGAGTGTAATCATGTGCACTTAACCACTATTACAAGTATCTCAGGTCATAGAAACTTCTACTCAGCAGCAGTGGAAATTCATCTTGTTATATTTTTCTGTGGCATGTTTTGTCAAAAACACACAACCAATCATGATCATGCTAAAATAACAAGCGCTAATTTGAAACAGATTGTTATTGAATTCCTGTTTATTTTTACCTGTAGATGTCACCACTTCCTCTTTGGAATAGGGATATTTCTTGGTCTTATCTTCAGGAACAGAGAATTTCCCCAGTTTTTCCAGTGGATTGTATCTTGGCAGTGAGCCAGGTGGAGGAGGCTGAAACATGGATTATAACCTTTCATTATATAATAACAAAAAAAAAAAAAAAAAGAATTGACGAGAGCAATCAGCTGTATATTGTAACTGTATGACTATAGATAGTTTACCTACTATATAAATATTTTTAATAACACTTGGGTTGACTGAAATGTTTTGATGAAAATAAAAGCATTTCAGTGCATAGAGACTGCCTACCCTGGGAGTTTTGGCATCCTTAGGAAGATCTCCATGGAATAAAGGCTGTGTTTTTCTCTTCTCTCTTACTCTCTGTGGCACAAACTCGGGGCCCAATTTTCTTTTAAAGAAAGAAGAGAGTGAAATATCAGATCTGTGAAATCATACACACAGACACACAGACACGCACACACACACACACACACACACACACACACACACACACACACACACACACACACACACACACACACACACGCAAACACAATAACAAATCTGCAAAAATGTATTTTAATTCTAAAGTGATAATCTTACAGTATACGCAATACAAACATCTATCATCATAATGTAATCTACATAAAAGTAAAATCTACTTCCTTACACTGAGACTGGGGTCAAACATGCAATTAACTTACTTAGAAACTCTTTGTTCATGTGAAAGTGGTTCCATTTGCATAGCTTGCTTATATGCTGAGATTTCGCTGAGTGATTTCTTGGCCAGATCATCCAGTTCTTGTTTCAAACTCAGCTCCACCTTCCTGGACACCCCCATTCTGAATGGTGCTTTTTCTGAGGGGTCTGTTGGGTGGATTTCTCTGCCGGCCATCTTGGTTATTTTTATCTGAAGTAAATAAGCAGATTTATCAATAGTAAATGATCTTTACAATAATTCGCAAAAAAGCGAAAAAATAAAATGCCCCGTCCACCATTATAGCATCCAGTCATCACTTCAAACATTTGATGAACTTATTAAGCTAAGGCATTGCATTGAAATAACAAGTAAGGGATCCATTCCACACGCGAAAGACAACAATGAAAAATCACTGGTGCATCATCATTCTGTTTAATTTCTGCGGTAAGCAGGGGGCCAAAATTGAAAATGCAGCCAGGCTGGCAAATTGACCACATATCTCAGATCAGAGATGTGGAATAATTGCCACTATGGTTGTATTCTTATTTATCTACCCATTTCCGTTGTCTTGCATGTATATTTTCTAAACACTTCTGAAATGGCTACTCACCTTATAACCCCAATAAAAATATATTCACCAAAACATCGGCAGACTTGTTTCAAAGTTTTATTTTGGCCGCCATGTTGTTGGTGTGTTGCTCTGGAAATTCTCAGAAAATCTCGTTTGTATTTTGGCCTTATTTCTCGGTTCATGAACGGCGAGGGAAGTCATGTAAATCAAGGTTGATTATGCATTATTATATCTTACAGATAAAGAGGTAATTCCTCTATCTATTGGGAAACGAAAGAAAATAAAGTCCAAAGTAATGTTACTCTCGTTCTTAGTGCGAGATTTGAATATTCCCGTCTCCATTTACTAAAGATAAAGGTGTACCTCCATGCGCGACGACAACAGTAAGTAAAAAAACAAAAGTTGACAGTAAACCCCATGATCAAACTGTAGCTACGTCGTAGTAAGTATAATAATATTTTGTTACTTGTGACATGTGGTCGTTATTTATTTAAATTGTGTGCAATTAGTAGAATTACCCTGTCCCTGTGCTATTAAAAAGTAACGTATCCCCCCGTCTCTCTACTCTTGATAAATTGGGTCTAGATTTTACTGTCCAGGCTCAAGCACTTAGCCCCAGTTTTCAGCCTTTACATTAATGCAGTCTTTTTTGCTGACCACCATAGATGTGTGCCTCCTGGAAGAAGCTAGTCCCTCATTGGGCCCGGAGCCCCGTCTACTACCGCCCTCCTCCTTGGGTTCGTAACTGGGAAGCTCATCACATCAAGCCATGGAAGTTTGTGGGGCCTGGTGTGGTCTCTCGGCTACCCAAGCACTACATCAAGAGGAAGATAGAGCTGATATCAGAAGAACCACGTCCAGTCCACTGGGAACCAATCAACAAGAAGTATTCAGTCAGGGATGTCACCACAGGATTGGCAGAAAGGTGAGAGGTCACAGGCAGGATGAAAGTTTAAATTTCTGTCAGATTACAGCTTATTGTAAAACGCTTGGTTTGTATGTCTCTTTTGTATTGCTTTCTAAGACTGAATTGATGGTTTATATGTTGCCATCTTTATCACTGAAAAGTTATCCCTACCTCACATGGACTCTTGCATGTTTTCTAACCTCACATCACTCAGCTTTGTTTTAGGCTCAGTTTATTTCCATGGTGAATAAGAATTCCCGAGTGCCACACATGCAAATTCATCAATACAGGCATAAAATTGTAATGTTGTAAAGTTGAGCATCTCCGGGCCATAGGCAAGTAAATTTTATATTTACCATATTTTTAATTTCAATAAATACAGGTTAATAAATAAATAAATACACCCAACCTTTACCTTTCATTTTTTACAGGGTTCAAATCCAGAACATAGCTATACCTGTGTTTTACCCAGAGCAAGCTGATCAAGGCCTCTGGGGAGGAGAAGGAATTGTACAAGGATATTACAGGAAAAAGTTGAGAAGGAGAAGGTAATTCAAGTTAAAATAACTGTATCACATGGATATGCTTAACCCATTGTTGAAGAGTCAGATAATATGCATCTAAGAACCTTCAGACAAAGGGTGTACATATTGGAAATTTCTGCCACAGTGTTTTGTTAACTTAGCTATGTGATAATCCTGTGCATTTTCTACAAGCTCATTCTTTTTTGTAAATTAAGAAATTTTAAAATTGAGAATTTTATTTGAAAATATGCAGCATTGACTTGGATAATAGACTTTACACAGAGATGATAGAGGTGTTCTAATATCAAGTTTATAGTGACTGTATTATGATATTTTTAAACTTTTATTCCAGCTCTCCTAAACTGTGGAAACCAAAGGTCTTCAATTTTTTTCTGTACAGTGAAATTTTGGATCGCTGGATGGAAATTGCCATCACCCAAAGAACACTTGATCTCATAGATGAAGCATTAGGGTTTGATAATTATATTCTAAAGGTTTGTTTTTAGATTTGGTATTTTTGCCTGATGTAGGTCTTTATGAGTAAACGGAATTATACGTAGTTTCTTGTAACCAAGTATTTAATAGATTATTTTCATCTTCATTTTTGGCTGACTATTCTTAATTATTGAAGTTGAAGGAAGATTCCCTGTGACTGCTTTTGTAATTTTAATTTTTAATTAAAAAATTGCTTTTCCTCCAACCATAAATACAGATCATTTTCATTTGATATTTTCAGACCCATGAAAGGGACCTGAAATCTCAACTAGGCAATAAGCTGAAGAGGGAGATGTTACTGGCATTAGTTAGAAAATCATTACATCCCAGTAATCCAAAAAAGAGGGAAGAGCTTCTGGAGAAATACAAGGAGTTTATAATACCAGTGAGTTCTTTTCCTTTCTTACCTAGACACTGATTTGATCTTTTTTCAGGTATTCTGAAGACTATTACACAAGTGAGAGAGTCTCCTCACCCCCCCCCCCCCAACCCAGTATTATATTACAAATAAATCCAAAGTTTTATGTGTATCTTTTTTTTTTTTTTTTTACAAAAAAAGAAGAAAGAAAGAAAGATATAAGAAATGAAAATTGAACAAAGTAATATTGTACTGTAACAAAAAGTTAGATTTAAAAGCAAACTTTGGGAAAATTTGATATTAGCTGTACTAAAAAATTGAAAAACTGGAAATAAAACTTTGTAATGGGGTTACTGTATTTTTAACATTATACATGATTAAATGATGAAACATCAATATAAAGTTAAGTATTGAAAATCGGATGCAATGGTGTGACCAAGTGCTGAAATTGCAAATGTGATAGTTGAGACAGGAGCACAATGATATGTAATTGCTGCAGCTGAAATTGATTGGAAACTCCACCTGACTGTCTACTTGACCTGTTAATAAATCTAAAAAGCGCATAAAACAATTTTGGAATTTAATGTACCATAATGGAAAAATAATCCAAATTGGTTTAACTTTTTAAAAAGAATTTGAAAAACTTGACACAATTGGGATACTGTTTAAGTTCCATACATGTTCATACATATTTCATTTAATATTATTAAAAAATCTGCTCCATGAGATTTGTTTGAGATAAAAAAACATAACAGCTGTGTTAATAGATAAAGATATATAATACCTAAGGAGTCAGAGGATATAGCTTGGGGATGTGGAAGAAAGCTCAATTATAGAGAGTTGATTCTTTCCAATGAGATTTTTGGTCTTCATGAACTCAAATAAAAAATCTTAAATAGTCTTAAATAAATAAATTGTCTCAAAGATATGTTCGTAAATATTTAGCATGATATTTTATTAGGTACAAAAATATATACAAGCTTGTTTGTTTTCCTGAAGTTAAGAAAGAACAACACAATATATATTTCAGTAGTGAATTTTATTGTACACAACACAGCTTGATTGGCAGAAAAGAGATATATTACATTGAAGAGTAAAATGATACCATCCCTGCAGTCTAATGATCTAGCTATTGCTCATTTATAAAATGGCAAGCACGAGTCTTGGACTGAGAATTTACACATGTATATTACTACAAATCAGCATTTATTTACTTTACTGTGAGATTCTTCAATCAAGTGGCATAATATTGCAACAAACAAAAAACTCAATCTCAACTGAACATTGACATAAAAGAGTTTAGGGCTGTTTTTGTTTCGGCACTATACTTTATAGATTATTTTGGAATGTTTGGATCCCTGTATGAATGTTTTTATGTCAGCACCTATTGATAGGTAAATATTGTGTTACTTTTTTGGGTACAAATATGCTGTTGATTTATATCCAACAGGTCCTTCCATTACTACAAGGTATAACTTGCTCAACTTTTAATAAGCTATTGAGTCATGTGGCTAATGTAGAATTATATCCTATCAGTTTTTACTAAGGTATTTGTGAAATGTTTACCGTGTTATGATTAACTTTTAACAAGCCATCCTATGTCTCTGATCAAACCCTCCTGAAAAGATTTTCTGCAATATCTTTCTTTTTAGGGAGTTTAATGATAGCTTTTATAAAAAAAATATTATATTTTTTCACTGTCTTCACAAAACCACTTGACATTTCTGTGTTCTAAATATGCTTCATTCAAACAGTACCTAGAGTTTTGATTTCCATATCGTGGGAAGACTTCTTGTAAAAAGTGTTTGTGAAATGCTTGAATTTCTTTCTGAGGGATTTTTTCTTCTCTCTCAACAACGATTGGTCATTTGCAGCATTTCTAGCCACATTAGTAATGCTAGCAGATGGCTTTGCAATATCTCGGTAAGCCACTTCTCTGACATCCTTCACGGAAGAGGCTCTACCATTTGGTATCGAGGAGGAGTCCTCTGGGCTGGTAATCCCAGAATCCCCATCATTTCCTTGAATTAACGGCTGGCGGAACCCATTTGTCCCGTTTGGCTGTTGTCCAAGGTATTTGAGGTTTTCAGCACTGTATGACATTTGATGAATTTGAAACTGTTTGAATCTCTTTGGCATCTGGTATTGGTCCCAAGGCGGGAAGTCTGAGTACTCGTCAGTACTGGCCATGGCGTAACTTAGGCGTGATCCACTCGAATCAGTTGTCACGTAGCTAAACCTGGATGCGTAGCTGAGTCTGGACCCCGTAGAGTCTGTGATATTAGAGTAGCTGAGCCTGGAACCACTGAAACTAAGTCTGGAGGCATAACTGAGTCTGGAACCCGTGGAATCCGTCATAGCCGAGTAACTGGAGTAGCTGTAACGTGATCCACCAGAGTCCGTCATTATTGGAGAATTAACTGGGACAGGCAGCCCAGAGCTGTCAACACTGAAGGGGCTTGCTGTGCCTGCAGAGGGAGGGGGTGCCAGCAACATCCCACTGTCTAAGATGGATGTAGGCGAAGAAAGTTTATCTGCTATATCCTGAAACTCGTTGTATGAAGATCGCGAGGAAGGGGACGACAACAGGCTTGTGTCTGGGAGAGAATCCCTTGTAGCATCCATGGATGATACACTTCCACAGTCAGATAGATCCCCAGGGTTGGTTCCATGCCCATCAGTCAGAGTCCCTGATTGATAGTCATTGTCAATATCTGATTGGTCAGTTGTTGATGGGAGGGTGGAGCCTCCTTGGATTGTTGATCCTGATTGGAAGGAGGTGCGGCTTATTCCACGTCTAAAGTCACTGTCAATAGTTCTTGTCACCGAGGTTGTGTCTGAAATATCTGAACCTTCTGACGACGCATCTGAGCCATTGGAACCCTCAGAGTCAGAAAGATCAGAGCTCCCATGCTCATACCATTCTCCACTACCTATAAGAGACATCCTGTCTTGAAGGTAGTAGGAGCAGGGTTCTCCCAGAGCAACATGAAGGGCGTGATCTGGGCAGCGGTAGTGCTTGGGATGAATTTCCTTCAAGAAACCACTCCTCCTGTTGATGTGGTTGCGTCTGTTTGGATGAATAAGTTGCTTTTCAACCTGGTCAAACAACCTGGAATTGTCACTGTATGTGTCATCTGAGTCGGCATTCCGTGCCCAGTTGTTGCCACCATCATCAATTGATGATATTTCGGACAGAGAATCATCAGCTGCATCAGGGTGTATCTGTCCATTGTTAAGTCTATAGCTCCCAGGGGATGCTAGTGGTGCTTTCTCGTTGTTATAAATTATATGTTTGGGAGGCCTTTTAGGGGGAGTGCTGGTATCTGAGATCTGAACAGGGAACCTTCTTGGTGGCAGTGGAGGAGGAATGTCTTGATTAACAACTCCATCTGATGGCAAATGCCCGGAGTGATTTGTATGGTAGGCTGTATCAGGGACAAAAGTGTTCTCATGAAAACTCAGTCTACCTGTACTGTGAGTGTTTGTGCTCTCAGACGAGGATTTGCGCAGCAGTGGCGGCTTATGGGCATGGATGCTATCCAGTATATTATCCATGGCTTCAGAGATACCATCGGTAATGGAAGATTTACGCTGATCTGGAGACCTCCCAACTTTGCTTTGGTTTGTGGAGTCGACAGAATGTGGTGGTGGGGGTACATCTCTGTACTGCACTGAGGTGCTATCTTTCAAGCATGCTTTGAGATGAGAAGGCTTGGGGGGTCTAGGTGGCTGGGGCGGAATGGGTTTGGCTGCAACTGGGTTCCTGGGTGGACGGGGAGGAGGGGAAGAAGAGGAAGATGAAGAAAGTTTGGGGGGCCTTGGGGGAGGGGTGCAGGAAGTTGATTTTGGAGGGCGTGGTGGTGGCTTTTCTGCACTGAAAACCTCATCTTGTGATAAGTTATTGAGTTCATGGTTAGCCACAAGTGTTTCATCCTTGCTTCCAGATCCATATGGAAGTAGTTTAGGTTTGGGTGGTCTTTCAGGTTTGGCATCTAATACCACTAAATGTCCTGATCCCTGTGATTGAAAGTCATTATGGGAATCTGCCATATTGTCATTCACAGTGTCTGCAGAGTGGGAATGAGAACGCTGTCTACCAGAGACGTGTTTGCGATGATGCTTTGAATGTTTTTTATTCACAGGGTAATATTCCTTGTCCAGGTCATAACACTCTAAACCAGGCTCAAAATCATTGTCAATATCCATCTCCGAGTCAGAGTCATAATATTTCATTCCTGGCTGGTAGTTCTCTTTTTGTTCGGTACCTGAGCTTTCGTGGCCAATTAAATCGGAGTCTGATTTGGCAGATGTATTTCTCACTCTAGGTCTCGGCCTAGGTGAATCTTTGGTATAGACTCTCAGTTTTTCCCGAGGATGTTTGTAATTGGAATTCATGTCTCTCTGAAGTCTCAGTGTGTTCCTCCAGGCACGTGCTTCAAGTTCACTGTCACTTCCACACTCTTCACGAGATTCTTTGATTCTTTCCAGGGGCTTTTTGGAGTTTGAATCAGTATTCATGTTGGCCATTTTCTGGAATTCTGTGCTTTTCTCACACTCTTTCAAAAGTTCTAAGAATTGTTCTTTGATTGAACGGATTTCAAGACGCAGGGCTAGCTCATCACGGATGTTTCTCAGCTGAAAGGAAAAATTATAATAATTAGTCAAGATATAAATCTCTACAAACATCAGATGGATCCAGTAAGGATATTTGTAATTTTTTTTAAAATAAAATTAGAAAAAAATTTGATGTGAATTTGATCTTTATCCCTTGATTTATCTTCGACTTCATTTATAACTTTCTTTGATGAGGCTAAAGTAATGTAGTTATTTGACTAGAAAAAAATTACCCAAAGCAAACCCAGAAATTCATGAATTACCTTCATTTTCACTCAAACAATCTCGAAAAAATCTGCATCAGAACACTAGTGAGATACAAACTCAGAGTGCTAGACGCTACTCCACAACTGATCTGTTCACTCATAAGTTATTCATAGTTTTAAAACAGGCCCAGTATGCCTGGGCGTAGATCAATAAATAGTTAGAGGTTTGTACAATGGTAATATGTCAATGGCCCCAATTGTTTAACATTACTCTCACGCTTGTGTCCCAAAGACTTGTGTATTATAAGTAGCTCCATTAGGCAAGAAACCAGTGGAAATATTGACCCTAGCCCTATGACATGTTATTATAAAGTTTTCGCCCATTGATATTTTACCACAGTTATGCATAATGAATAAGAACACATTTATTTTCTTGGCTATAATAATTTCTATCTAAGAAGAGTGGAATGGCGTGAATGTTAGTGTAATTGATTTTGGGAATTAGTTAAAATATCTGAGGTAAATATTAGGACAAATGATCAAAGAATAATTGGGCCAACCTTCTGTGTGAACAAATTTTCCTTTCCATTATTTCTTTTGCCACAGAACTGCTTATTCATATTTTTAATTGGTAGAAGTTTTTCATTTGCGTGGCAAAAACAACCATCGTTATTTTCATTCATGGATTTAAAAATGTAACAATTATTTACCCAAGTTGGAATATCTATTTTGAGATCCGTTTGGCAAATATTATTTTGGGTTCTATAGATACACATCCGTTTGATGATTGTTTGTAAAGGAAATGAGTTCATTTCTCTAGAAATAGTCCCGTTTATTGAAAAAAGCGAAACTGTGCAGACATAACAAGCACATTGTTAGTTTTGTTACATGTATACTTAGAGCAAAAGGATCAGAAATTAGTGACCAAATGCTGAGACTTAAGACTTGTGATTTGGGCAATTTTTCAATCATATACTAATGTTTATCAATTCGTCATCATGCATGACAGATATATATATTTCAGTTCTCTTTTCAATCTTTTTAAAATATCAAGGGTCAAATTGATAACTATCAGAAGACGGAGCAAGGTTTTGTTGCTTCCAAAATGATCACTGCATCATTCCAGCCTGTAATACTGGGGAGGTGGAAGGGGGAGAGGGTTCAAAAGAACTTCCCTGTAGGCTATAAAAGGTCTCTGGATCAAAGTTTAATCTAGGATCTTTGCTATTTGTTAGATTGGGTGAACCAAAGAATAAAGAAGGTTCACTCTTCAGGCTCATAGCCAGTATTTTCAAAAGTGGGGTAATTTTTCTGAAAAAGTGGACCTTTTACCATGAAACCTCCTTATACCTTGAAAAAATTTTACTGAGAGGGGACCTTTTTCCACCAAAAAGTTTGTTTGTTTTTTCGAACCCCCCAATTCCCTGGGCTACGGGCCTGTTCTTTCAGAAAAAGACCCTCCCCCCCCACCCCCCGAAACTGGCTACAGGCCTGGCATCAAGGATTTCAGCTACCATAACTTGGTAAAGCCGAAATATACTGTACAAAATGTTCAAAGGTAATGTACAACTGAAATGTACAAGCGTAATGTACAAATGTGATGTGCAGCTGTAAATGCAGTAGAATGTGCAACAACAATTGTGTTAGGTGACCCATAGCTTAATGCAATTGGACAAACTCTTTAAACCTCCAAGTGACCTCCTTCACTTCATTACACTTAGCGACAAGTTGTATCTAATTGAATTGAGTTTCCATGACGATTGCAGGATGGGGGAAAAGCAGTGATTGTCATTGAGCAATTCATGGAATCTATATATCTTTTACAGAATTTATACAAAATACAGGTTCAGTGGCTTAATCTTGATGGTGTGTGCCCATATCAGGGTCTTCTTATGATAATGATTATTTATAATCTACCATACTTACTTGGGGCACATTAAATGTCAACTTTGGCCCTTAAATATGAGTGGAGAACTTTTTTCCACAGTGGCACTTTTTGCTTGACATATAGAGAATAAGAAGCTTGATTAGGTTGTATTAGAGTAAACACCAGCCTCCTCGGAGAATCCCAGAAGTATAAGATGTGCATTTAAGGCCTAGCAAGCCTCAAGCTATCTTTGAGTAATGACATTTTTAATATCACAGATCTGTATAGACCTCTGTTAAATTCTCCTTTTTTGTGATTTTATCTAAACCAAAAATGAAGCAATGTTTAGATGAGCAGTAATTCTAATTGAAATGTTTAGTGCACCTTGTCTTAGTGTGATTTTTATCTTGTAGCATTATATTGGTGATGATTATATGAGGCCTTTCTGCTTTTTTTTTAATTAGGAAAATTATTAATTTATCCCTTGATTTGAAAGTAAGTATTTTGATTTTTAAAATATATTTCATATTTTTAAGATTATATTTAGATTCATAATTCAAAACAATGCTTTTCTAGCTGGCGTTTACTAATGCAGCTATGACAGAAAAAAAAAGATTTACCATGTCTGTCTTGACAGCCAAAAAGAGGTCGTTAAGTGAGACGTCTTCATCGGCATCTTGGTTTGTCCCATCAGTGTTGTCCCCTCCATTCTCCCTTGTGGGAGACTCCTCCGGGATGGATTCCGTCATCATAGGCCTAGAAATACAGAGGAAAAACTAGCAGTTAAACTGATTGTCATACCTATAATTTTTTCCACAAGAAGCTAATTTTATTTTGCAGTTAACATAGCTTTATTTCTTCCCAGTGAGTTGCAACTTGGAAAAACCTTTGCAGCGTACAACTGTTTGTAGAATTGATGTCCACATTATGGTACATTCTGTTGGTTAGCATACCGCCAGTATGGTGTATGCAATACTGTGGATTTTGGTACATTCCCTGATATGTCTATACATGAGTCTTTAAGTGATGCGTGTTGTCGCATACTATAGACCCTGAGACGAAGTGATTCTGCAGCCAGATTTAAGTGAATAACTGATATCCGCTGTAGCCAGCCTAAAACTTTTCTCTTTTTGATTTCATTTTGTAGAACAAGTCTTCACGGCCATATTATGCTATTTTCAAAGTACCTTAGTAAATGTTAGGGTCTTTTTATCATTAAGATTAAGAAGCATACAAAAAACATGACAGGCATTCATACACCATCAATTCATAGAGCTTCTGAAAAATGCTCGTCTTTTCTCAGGTTCGGATCATGCAAAGTTTCCAACATTACACTAATATTGTGATTAAATAAGTCTTTGCTACAGATGAGAATTCAGCTTACTTTTGTTGACCAGGTGTTATTTTTGACAGCCTGTGATTCCAAGTGTTTGTAAATGTTACAGTCTTTCCAATCCAGTGCTTGAATCCTTATTATTAAGTCACATATTGTAGAGAAGTGTCTAGCAAACTGTTCGTAGAAGACCTCAGTTAGCTTGTAAAAATGATCATGAATACTTCTAAGAGTTTTCTCATTTCTTTCCATTTGTTTCTTATAGTGCCTTTCCAATTTCCAAAATTCCCATCTCCCTGTCTTAACTTGTGGGTGTCAAAAGTAACTGACCTCTCTCGGTTTTCCTCTCTCATAATTATATGACTCGAGGACCATTTCACTTTGTGTAGTGACTTATTTTGTCACGGGCATGTAACATTTGTTGATTGAAGGTTTATGAGGAAAGTAACTCTTTAATGTCGCCATAGTGCAGATCATCCAAACCTTCCTTTGTTGGGCCAAAGATAATCCCTCATGATGGGGCAGGGTCAAGGGGTCAACAACTTGCAAATCAAAGGAGTTCATACCTCGGCTGGTTTCCCTGGAGTATTTGGAAGTGAACAAGCTTAAGATTGTTGATGTACAATGTTTTATTATCGTATTGATATTGAAATTCTTATTGGTTGTTGGAATGTTGAGGAACTAATGGTGGAATAGGAAAATATTTCTTGGACTTGTGATGCAAAGTACAGAATGCAGACATCTCTTATTGCAATATAATTTTCAAGATTTAACTGTTAATGATAATATTACCTCCTTTATTATTATTATTATTATTATTATTATTATTTTGTTTTCACATTATGTTCATTTTACATCCAGACTTCCATCAAATTGATTCCATTCCAATAATTATAACACAATTAATCTGCCATTACAGCATTTTAATACCTGATGAAACAATCATCTTCGTTGTTTTGCTCAGGTTGCTAAGTTAAAGCCCTGTGTTATGAATATGATCCATAATAAACCCTTCACTCCATTTTACCAAGGTTTTGTGATTTAATCTCTCAATCTATAAGATTTATCCATTTACCAATATGGAATTATTGTTGAAATGCGAATGTTTGAAGTTGCACTGTTTGTGTGAATGAAAGAAATGTGGCTGATTGAAAGGAAATGGCAAAGGAAATAAAAAATATTGAAAATTTTCTTTCTGGACATTCAATGAGTGAATTGTACCTGGTAGTTCTTTGTTGTTGCAAATGAATGTAAAGGCCTTGGATACTGAATGATGACTAATGAAATATTTTGGCTCCTAACTTACCAATTAAAGTGTGCTCATTTTGCTTCAAAACATAAAATCCAAGGCAATCAAGACATTGATGCACATATTACAAACACTACTTGAAATACTTTGTGAATGTCAATATCCAAATCTATTAGTCAAGTGTAGATGTTAACTTTCCAGATTACACATACCTTAGATGATGTGTTTCAGTCACTAGTATTTTTACAATTTTTTTTTCGTGTATCGTGTGCTGTCATTTTGGGAAAGATATCAGTAACTGTTGTAATATGAAACAGATCAAGATACTGCCTACTTTTTGGGATCATCTGCCCCTCATTTCCTTAAAACATTATGCTATATAGTTTTGCACTTATTCAACTGTTTTACTGTAACCCAGTATTCCATGAAAGATATCAAGTACATTCTTGCTTTTCTCCTCTAACTCATTTGTCACAAGTTTTGGACATAAACAGTAAAAGGTGATCTTATATACCCTAACGGTTGTACAATACAACATGGGATATTGATGTGCTTTTGGTCCTACAAGCATGTTAGGACCTTATATATTAGAGAAATATGGGATACGCCCCAAGAGGCATTAACAGCTGAGTTGTGGCAGTGTAGCCTTGTATTTTTCTAGTCCAAGATGGTATAAACAGTGACATGACTTGAAATTTTAAAGTGCTATCATTAGATGAATGCTCAATGGTATTTAAACTTTACTAAGTCCTTTACAAATGTGAAATTTTACTCTTTCAATTACAAAATTATTCCAATGTATGCTTCAGTGTTCTTGAATGAAATTTATTATATAATAAGTACATGACTACATTTCTAAAACTCACTCAGTATTTTTTTTTTTTACCAAGCTTACTCAACTCAATCAAATTGGCTTAAATTTACATCTGACAAGGTAGAATGAATTCAGAATAGTAACTAAAATCAAATTTTTTTTTCTATCAGTGCTGGGCACGAACTTGGACCATTCTCCTTGACTGTCTAATTGGTTACTGTGTCTTTCTTCTGTGTAATATTTTACTTAACTTATTTACAGATAGCATGCTGACTTAAGAATTTGATAAATCATAGTATACATTTTGAGTATTTTTCAGTTGTCCCAGTACAGAATTTCTTAAAAATATTATCTAAGTTAGCATCCAGATAATACAGCTTTGCCAAAGATTTTAGCAACCTTATAAACTATAATTTAGAAGATTTCAATAAAGGAAGAAATTCCAATCACTCAACTCTAAACTCATAAAATATCCTCAAATATTGCCCAAATCTTATTTATCTTCTAGTACATACCTCCAAAGTATGGATCTCCAGTACGGGTCCTTCGGCAGAAGATATGTTTTGATACGTTTTGATCTTCTAGTCTTGTATATCATTTTCATTTTCCACAAAGCAACTTGATAGAGCTCTATTTAAAAATCTTTGAAAAAGCCCAAGACCATCTCAGTTTTTGTCCTGTCACTCTTTTTTACGAATTGGAAGTTGATGTGTCTGCAGTCGGTGGTCACTTTCTTCAGAGTGAAGTATTGCTACCTTTACCTTATGATTGAACCAGGTACAATACAAGCAGGTGAAACAATTTTAAAGCTGCTGTCAAAATTACCTAGTTTGTCCTCAATAGCCACTCAGTTGGCTCTATTGTTTTCAAAACTTCAAAGACTTACAACATCATAAACTCTCATTAAGAAGAGCCCACTCCTTGGCCAGAAAGCCTGATAGACTGTGAAGTCTACAAACTGTAGCAAACTTCAGAGCCCACATTTTAATATTGCCTTTGATCTTTTGAGAGCTTTTGTCTTTGAGGAGCAGACGACACCCTGGAAGTATGGTAGACATGGGTGTAGATGTAGACAGCAGAAGACATGCTACCTTCAGGGCACTGTGTTTAAACCTTTGTATTTAGCAAAGGGGAGGTGTGATTGGGGTGTGGGGATAGTATGAAATAGAGTTATGCCTATATAAATTATTATGCAGTAGTCATATACTATGCTTTGGGGTTCATTGTCAATGTTATACTCCTCAAAATGCACATGAAAAAAATACAGTGAAAGGAGAACACTAACTGTTTAAGACATAAAGACTAGATTTTCTACCCATGCCTACTGGTGTAATATTTATATTTAAGACCAAATGAAAATTATGCTAGAAATAAAAGCTATGGGATCTTCATGAAGGTGATCTCTCTCCTGCATTATCAAGCTAGATGCTTTCACATGAAGATTTTCTCTTTTCAGTAATCATTCTCAAAAGAGCACTTGCACCATGTTACATTTACACCACACCTAGGGGTAGCCTGAGAACCAGGAACTTATAGAAATTTTGAACTCCTTATATAGGTCCCAAATCTCCTTATTATCACATAAGCCCCACAGTCTTCAGAGATGGTACAGAACGACTTATTTTATGTCAGTTGAAGTGTCCCTTATTATGAGATTAATCTTCAGTAATGAATGTCATTGACAGTTGAGTCTTCACAGAGAGCCCTGCTGCTCAAGGGTAATAGGCAGTTCGTCTGCAGTAACGTTGGGGTTTACACAGCAGGGAGCAGGGGGGACCCACCCACAAGACAGAGACAGCCCTGATGTGGAGTGATAAGATCAAGAAGTCTGCAACTTTGTGACCCATAAAATTGTCACTTGTGCAAGGAGCTGAGAATTACTGTTATTATGGAAGATCACAAGAGATCAGTTGCTCTTAACAACAGGGACTATTATATATATAATTTATTATGCGCGCTAGTGCATTTTACAATGACTATGATAAAATATTTTTCTATAATATATGAATTAATCACCTTAAACATAGAAGTTTTTGATGTAAATTTTCTGAAACATACAGCACAGACAAGATTGTAAGAATTAATACATCTCAATAAATGGGCGCTCTACAGAAATGCAGTTTTATTTTCTGTATGTCAGCTTTTCTTAGAGTTGCATTTATACATCTGTTATAATTTCTCACTTTTTCTTGACACAAGTTGCCATTTTTGAGACAAATAGATCAGTTAACAAAACAAAAACATTTATAGTTGAATGAAAAAAGTATTTTTGTTTTACTGATACCATAATATATGCACACTTCTGCACATTTTCCCACAGTGTATAAAAAAGTTATAATCTCCAAAATAAATGTGTCACA